TGAGTGGTCCAAGTGAGGGTGGATTCCAGGGTGACCCCACTGTCTCCAGGCCTCTGAGTCTGATCTGTGCCTGGAACCCTCCCCTGCAGGATGCCCTCTTCTTCCTCAAGGACTTCTTCACTAGCCTGGTGGCCGGCATCAACCCCATGGTCCCAGGGGAGACGTCCACTGAGGGTGAGAGGCTGGGCCAGGGAGGGGAGTGTCTGGGTGTCCTGCCTCCCAGGGCAGCCCAGGTTCCCAGTCATCCCTGGCCCCACCTGCAGTCTATGACCTCCCCTCCCTTAGCTCGCCCTGAGACTCGAACCCAGCCCAGCAGCCCCCCGGAAGGACAGGCTGAGGGCATAGAGGCCTCCAGCTCGCAGGAAGCCCCAGGTGGTGGACATAGCCCCTCCCCTGCTGACCAGCAGCCCATCTACTTCAGGTAGGCTGCCGGACTGTGGGTGGGGGGGCCCTGGGCCAGATTGCTGGGGGCTGGGCCAGTGAGCAAAGAACCCCCTCTTTCTGCTCCCCCACCCAGAGAGTTCCGCTTCACGTCTGAGGTGCCCATCTGGCTAGATTACCATGGCAAGCACGTCACGATGGACCAGGTGGTAAGTGGGGCCGTTGGATGGGGTGGCCATGTGGGGTCAGCTGTGGCCGTGTCCCTCTGGGGGCCAGGTCTTGCATCAGGCACCATCAGCGGCCAGGATGGTCTTCAGTGGCTCCCATGGGCTGACTGGCTCCCTGAGTCCCATCGGGTAAACCCAGACTCCTCCCTCTCCCAGGGTACTTTCGCTGGCCTCCTCATCGGCCTGGCCCAGCTCAACTGCTCCGAGCTGAAACTGAAGCGGCTCTGTTGCAGGCACGGGTGAGTCCCCAGCGCCCCAGCCTCTCTCCAGGGTCCCTGATCTTCCCTCTATTCTGGTCCTGACTGGTTGTGTGGCCTTGGCCAAGTCATTGCCCTTCTCAGGGCCTTAGTTTTTTCCTGTAAAAAGGACACGGTCAGCTGGGTGTGGTGGCTGATGCCTGTAATCCTAGCACTTTGGGAGGCCAAGGCGGGTGGATCACAAAACAAGGTCAGGAGTTTGAGACCAGCTTGATCAACATGGTAAAATCCCATCTCTACTAAAAATGCAAAAATTTGCCGGGCGTGGTGGCACATGCCTGTAATCCCTGCTACTCAGGAGGTTGAGGTAGGAGAATTGCTTGACCCAGGAGGTAGAGGTTGCAGTGAGCTGAGATTGAGCCACTGCACTCCAGCCTGGACAACAGAGCAAGACTCCATCTGAAAAAAAAAAAAAAAAAAAGACACGGTCCCTGTGCACATGACTGGGTGGGAACCATGGGGAGAGTAGACGTGCCCACAGTACTTGCCACAGGGGTACTCAGTCCTCCTGGCCCCACAATCCCTCCACATGTGGCTCTGCCCCACTTCCCACCTCCTCACCTCCCTGCCCTGCCAGGCTCCTGGGTGTGGACAAGGTGCTGGGCTATGCCCTCAACGAGTGGCTGCAGGACATCCGCAAGAACCAGCTGCCTGGCCTGCTGGGAGGCGTGGGCCCCATGCACTCAGTTGTCCAGCTCTGTGAGTATCTGGGTTTGGAAGCCCTCAAAACTGCTTTTACCCTTGGGCAGCCTAGAAACTGCCTTTGGGAACAAGAAGAGTAGGTGGGGGCGGAGCAGCCTCGGGAGTCTCTGACCGCTCCTTCCCCCAGTCCAAGGGTTCCGGGACCTGCTGTGGCTGCCCATTGAGCAGTACAGGAAGGATGGCCGCCTCATGCGGGGGCTGCAGCGAGGGGCCGCCTCCTTTGGCTCATCCACGGCCTCTGCCGCCCTGGAACTCAGCAACCGGTTGGTACAGGCTATCCAGGTGAGCAGGTACCCTGCGTCCAGGCTGTGCAGGGCAGAGCAGCTGGAGCCCTCTGCTCCACAGCTGCCTGGTTCTATCCTCAAAGCTCTTCTGAGAGTGGGCAGTCTGGGTCTGACAGCCCTACTTTATAGAGAAACAGCCCCAGAGAGGCTAAGTGACTTGCCTGGTGGGACCTCCAAGCCAGGTCTCCCAAGACCCACAGGGGCTCCCATGCAGGATCGGGGCACCCCCCAGGCCTTTGGAGCCCACTGTGTTTCCTGCTCATGGGATGTCTTATAAAGGGGTGAAAGATGTTTCAGGGGAAGCATCTGAGGCCCAAGAGGCTGCCCTGGTTCATTGAGGCCGTGGACTTCCCTAGGCCAGAGGGGCCCCAGGGAAGCTGGGGAGCCAGTCTCGTGGACAGTTGTCAGATGAATTCTGTAGGGGGTCGATGGTCCTAGTAGGCTAAGGGGTGAGTGCACGTGCGTGGTGCATTCTGGAACCTGCAGGCTCAGACCCCAGCAGAGCAGAGGGCAGGGCTTGAGGGGAGGCCGGAGGGATGCGTGGACACCTGGGAGCCCCCAGGAGTGTTTAGCTGGGTGGAAAACAGTGACGCCAGGTGAGCTGCCGGGCAGAGGATCCGGCAGTCGGAAGGAAGGATGGGCTCCCTGGCCGTCCGGCAGGGGCTTCCGGGGGCCCAGACAAGGAGTGGTCAGTCTCAGGTGAGCCGCAACTGTGGCGGCGGTGTGGTGCCCGCTGGATGTGGCGGTCAGCAGGAAGAGAGGTTTGGGTTGAGAAGACTTTAGAAAAGTCCCCTGAGGAGTCCCATGTTCCTGGAATTCCCTGAGCAGAGTGACGGGTGTCTAGGAAGGAGAGGAGGAGTGGGAGGAAGTGGGGAGCGAGACTGAGTAGGACCCCCAGGGGCAACACAGTGACAAGCGGGGAGGTCGAGGGCAGGTGGGGTCTCACACTGCCCGGGGGGGGTTGGGACCGACATGTGTGCCCTAGCCAGCTGTCATCATCCAGTGCTTCCATGTCCCCCAGGCCACAGCCGAGACCGTGTATGACATCCTGTCGCCAGCAGCCCCCGTCTCCCGCTCCCTGCAGGACAAGCGCTCTGCACGAAGGCTGCGTAAGGGCCAGCAACCTGCCGACCTGCGGGAGGGCGTGGCCAAGGCCTACGACACAGTGCGAGAGGTGACCAGGCCCCCCACCCCATCCCCCACACCCCTCTCCTTACGCAGACCCTGCCCTGACCTCTGGTCTCCACAGGGCATCCTGGACACAGCTCAGACCATATGTGATGTGGCATCACGGGGCCATGAACAGAAGGGGCTGACAGGCGCCGTGGGGGGTGTGATCCGCCAGCTGCCCCCGACTGTGGTGAAGCCGCTCATCCTGGCCACGGAGGCCACATCCAGCCTGCTCGGGGGCATGCGCAATCAGATCGTCCCCGACGCCCACAAGGACCACGCTCTCAAGTGGCGCTCGGACGGTGCCCAGGACTGAGCCTAGGGTGCCTGGCACCCAGAGGGTGCTGCCCACCGTGCTCCTGAGCCTCCCAAGAGCTGCAGCACACAGGCCCGGCCCAGCCCTTCAGGGCATGGCCACTGTGAAGGACGCCTTCCCACCTGCCCGTTGCCAATCTGCTGTGAGAGGGGGGCCTCCCTGCCTTTGGGCCTTGGCCCTGGCTCTGCACTTTTCCTCCGGGGAGAAAGGACACTGCCCCTCCCTCCTACCTGGGCCTACACCGCTGCCTTGTCCCAGGACGGAGGCTTATGGACCCTCAGATCCCGACCCTACTCAGCCAAGTGTTTTTCTGTGTCTGTGGGGAGGAGAGGGGAAGACATCCATGTGGTTCAATGTATTATTTTTAAGGTCTGTGAGCGTGTGGGTCAGTGTCTGCATGAAGTGGAATAAACTGCCCACCGCAGCCCCCTCTCAGATCCTGTCCCTGTGACCCCTAGTCTCAGCCTTGACCTTGATTCCGCCCCAGATCCCACCTCTGCACCCAGCACCTCCCATGTCACCACCAGGGGTCGCCACGCCTCCCAGCCTTGCCCAGCAGGTCAGGGCACAGGGGGACCCAGAGGCACCCAGCCCTGCACACCTCCCCTTGGCTCTGGGCTTTGCCTTGCCCCTCCCAGCGGGCTGCCACCCCCGCTCCACTCCTGATGTGGCAGAAGCTACGTGGAGCTGCCAGGGAGGGAGGGATGGTCCTTGGAGCCCACCTGCCCAGACCATATTGGCCCGTGTCTCTGTAAGACCCCATGGTCCAGCCTGACCCCAGGGCCAGAGCAAAGGACAGGGCTGTGGAGACGCCAGGCAGGCTCCAGCCCTGACTATGGGACCTGATGTGAAACCCTGGTTCCCTGAGCCTTAGTCCTTCCTGGTTCTTCCTGCCCAGCCAACCCTGCCTGGCTGTCACATGAGGCCACTCCTGGGAGGCTGAGCCTGGGGCCTTCTAGAGGTTGCTCCCACCATCCCTAGTGGAGGCTTTTGGGGTGGTCCAGGCCTTGGCCCCTCAGCTCCCACTCTTCTCCCGGGTCCCAGCTCCAGCACTTGGAGGGGGAGGGGTGCTGGAGCAGTGCTGCAGCCAGAATCCCAGCCCCCAATGCACAAAGCTTTACATGGGACCAGGGAGTGGCCATTGCGTCCACACATCGTGTTTCTTGTGAGCAAAAAAGGAGCTGCTCCCATCATGCTCCTTCCTGCCCTGCTTCCCAGGAGTGCTGCAGGGAGGTTGGGCAGGTCCATGGGGAAACAGGCTCGGATTGGGAATCGAGGGACCCTCACCTTGCTAGGTTCTGCAGGCCTCTGGGATTAGCAAAGGTCCCCCAGCCCCCCTCTGTGGCCCTCCTGAGTAGGAGAGATCTGGGCACTGGGGACAGAGCAGAAGCTTTGTCCTGAGGGACCCTGGGGTCCTGGCTGCCCATGGAGACCTGGGGCAGCAGGCTGGCAAGAGATCAGGAGGGCGAGGCCCTGGAGGAGACAGGGCTGTGGACGACTGGGTGCTAATGGCACCCAAGAGGCAGATGGGGCCCAGCCTGATGCTTCCTGGACCCGCCCTACCCTGCCCGGGCACAGTCCAGGGCTTCCTGCCCTTCGAACCGTACTTGTGATCAGTATTGACAGGGGTGGGATAATCATTAACCACCACTACGGGTTGGGTCAACGGCTCAAAAGGCCCTGGGCCGAGGGCGTCCCCACTTCCTCCTTGTGTCCTGAGGGCCAGCTCAGCACCCAGGTAAGAGGCTTCCTGAGTGAAGGACCCCTGCTGCACCCCCTGTCCTAGGAGGCTCCTGAGCCCAGGCACCTCACTGAAGGGTGGCCAATCCTGAGGAAGAAAGGGAACTGGACAGCCATGGGGTGGCCAGGACGAGTCCCTTCCTCTCTGTGCTTTGGTTTCCACTGTGGGATGCGGGGGGCCTTAGGATCAGCACTCAGAGCTGCCCCGTTCTGTTGAGCCAGGATTCCGGATCGGGTGCTGCCTCTGCCAGGACAGGGCACTTAGCCCACACCGCAGGAGACTGGTCTCACCCAGGCCGCTGTGGGAAGGGCAGCCAGGCTGAGTGAAAGGCCAGCCACCAGCTATGGTGTCTTCCCTTTGCAGGCCTGTCTCCCCAGGCAGAAGGATTCCAGCCCAGTGATCCCCCATCCCACTCCTACTGCATCCCGAGAGGGAGGGCACCACTTGGGGGAGATGTTGGAGCAGCACAGGCCCTGAGGCCCTGCTCTGTGACCTTGGGCGGCCCCCTTTGCCTCTCTGGGCCTGTAACCACCACTGGCAAAGGGGGGCAGGGCCCAAGTCTACTCTGAAAGCTCTCCTCTCTCTCCAGAAACTTTGGAGTCTCCCAAAACGCTGCTGAGTCTCTGCAGGACTGGCATCGGTCACGGGAACTTGTCTGGGAGGGACGAGAACACGCTTTGCAGAAGGAAGCTCTGCCTCCCAGAGTCCTGGGCTTGCTTGGGCACCCCAGCCAGCAGCTGCTTCCTCTCCCCACAGTGGAGACAGACCCAAGGGTCCCAGGGCAGATGCTTCCCCCAGTCCAGGCCAGCGTGCAGGGTGAGCTCGTAAGTCCTGATTGACATGCGGTCAGTGGTTCAGAGAGGTTATACTACTTGCTCAAGGTCACCCAGCTCCCAGGCCCCTGCTGTCTTCCCAGCCGCTGAGTCCTAAGCGTCCTTCCAGGTGGGCCGCTGCTCACAGCCTGTTCTCACATTCTGCAGCAGGTTTGCGTATCCACATCTTTTCCAGTTCCCTGTCGCCCCCCCTTCCTACACCTTGCCATCCACTGTCCCTGTTTGTTTTCTCTGTTCCTTTCCAGTTCTCTCCCTGCTCCTCTTAATTTTTTATTTGAGACAGGGTCTTGCTCTGTTGCCCAGGCTGGAGTGCAATGGCACAATCACAGCTCAGTGCAGCCTTGACCTCCCAGGCTCAAGTGATCCTCCTGCCTCAGCCTCTTGAGTAGCTGGGACTACAGGCATGCATCACCACACTGGGCTAATTTTTTATTTTTTGTAGAGATTGGGGTCTCAATGTGTTGCTTGAGCTGGGTTTGCACTCCTGGGCTCAAGAGATCCTCCTTCCTTGTCCTCCCAAAGTGCTGGGACTCCAGGTGTGCCCGCTGTATGCGACCTCGGTCTTGTCTTTCTCTCTCAGCCCCTCCGCCTCACTGTCCCTCTTTCTGTGCCCCCACCACAGCCCCCACACTTCTTCTCTTCTCAGTCTCATCTTCAGCTTCCCATACAGGGCCATCCTCATGAAACTGGACCCTGGGAGGTCCCTGGAGACTGACAAGTGCCAGCTGTCCCTTGCTATCCCTCTGGCCCATGGCTGCAGCAGGGAGGGTGGGCAAAGGGCAAAGGGCAGAGGCAACAGTGGCCAGACCTGAAACTCAGGCCCAGCTCTGGTTGGGAAAGAAACAAGGAAACAAAAGAACTTGGGGACAGAGGGCGTGGGGGCATCAGAGCGGGCAAAGGCTGCCCAGGAATTGTAAATCGGAGCCGCTCCCGGCTTTATGAGGCCGATTTGGGGTTGAGCCTGGACTTCGCCCAGAAAGGAGTGCTGACAGCACATGGGATGCCAGGTGTGGGCCCCGGATGATAAGAAGCCTCAGAGAAAAGACCATGGACCTGGGGGCATGAGGACTGTACACCCAGGGGAGCAGGCGTGGGACACTCTCCACAGCCGTACCCAAGGCGGATGCCAGGCAGGGCCCAGCCTCCAGTTGGCTCCCACCCCCTGTAACAGCAACTCCATGTGGAAGTGCCCACTGATTCCAGTGGGGCTGCTGTTATCTGGGGCGAGGGCTGGTACTCACGAAGGAGAGGCAAGCACCGCCCAGCAGACCAACCCGAACTGCAGTGGCGACACTCCCAGGCGAGATGGTGTTGGAGGGTGGGGGGCTGTCAGCGCGGGGTGGGGGGCTGTCGGTGGGCTGCCGAGACCGAGTGCACAAGGCTCTGACCTATGAATTGACAGCCAGTGCTCTCGTCTCCCCTCTGGCTGCCAATTCCATAGGTCACAGGTATGTTCGCCTCAATGCCAGCCGCCAGGACCTGCAGGGGTAAGGGCGGGCCAGGGGTGTCCAGTGGTCAGAGAGACCCTGCGACCCCAGTGCAGCACTCATGGTCCCACCTCCCGCTGTCTCATTCACCGAGATGAGCCCAAACAGCTTTAGTCCCGGCCCTGCGCTGCCTGCCCTGTAGTGACTCTACGCTTTGCCCGTGCCATTCCCTCCACAGCTCTAGGCTTCGCCCGTGCCGTTCCCTCGGGCTACGACACTCTTCCTAGCTTATTTGTCAAGCTCGCTCTTACTAACTCTTTCAAGCTCCACCCAAGCATTTGCTGCCTCTAGAAGGCCTTCTTGAAGCTTATAAGTGCCCACCTGGGCCCCCCACACTATGCTGCCCCCCAGAGTGGCCCCCCACAAATGCTGCCCTCCCAAAGCCCTGGAGCTGGTTCTGCTTGTGTCTCGGTCCTCGCGCCATCTGTGACCTCAGTTCCCAGGCCAGGTGCATGCTCAATAAATGTTTGCTGAACCAAACTGAGCCTCTATCTTGCACCCTGAGGAAGCACTCAGCAACATGCAGTGTGGCCAGGGTCGGGGCTGAGTACTCTGGGCCCAGTGTTTGTGCTGGAGCCCCCCACCCAGGACAGGGGCCCTGAGCCAGCCCCGCCATCTGCTTCCCCCTCTCCCCTCCCTTGCCAGCCTCATCTTCCTGGAGTACAGCCCTGTGGTTGGTGGAGCAACTTCTCCAGCCCCTGGGATTCCTAAGAAGACCCAGGAACCCCACTGCTGGTAGAGGGGGAGCAGCCAACCCAGGACAGGACAGCTGACCCCACCCCTGCCCCACCTCCCACACCAACAACCTCATTCCCACCTGCTGCTGCTTTTTTTTTTTTTTCTTGGAGACGGA